AATACGGTAGTTCTACAAGTTAGGATATAAATGGAATGCAAAATTACTTTGCAGTCTAGAAGTTGATGAGTTCCAGTTCAGTGTATCTGAGAACTATTCAAGCCTTCTTTATTCATGTATGAATTACATTAGCCAATACACAAGGATGTTGTATAATACTTGCATATTGTTTGATTGATGTCTTTGAGTGCTTTCACAGTTGTTTGAGTGCTTACACAATTGTCTGGTGCACATTAGTAATGCGTAAAATATTTTAAAAAGAAAGAAACAGATTTTCAGAATTAAATCATCTTGTTCCCCCCTCCCCACTTTTCCAAAACAGAATCCACCCAACATCAACAAGGCAGCTTCTCTAGTAGTCAGTGTAGGCCTTTAAAACAGTGTTGTCCAAACGTTGTCCAAACATGGCTGGCTGGGGAATTCTGGGAGTTGAAGTCCACTCATCTTAAAGTGGCCACGTTTGGACAACACTGCTTTAAAATATGCAGATGCGCTTAAAACAAGTATCTAAAAGAGGCCACAGACTGATTTAAAATTTCTGCCTTGATATTTGAATTGAATTGTGAAAATCTTATACATGTTATAAATCTATACAGTCATGTTCCTCTAAGTTAAAAAGAGTTGGCTAAAAGCCCATGTTTCTACATCCTGTCCTCCTTTGACTAGACTTGTCACGCTTTACTTGCATGAATCTAAGATGCTATTCTAAAAAAAAAAAAAAGTCAAGCTATTTTTAAAGGCACAAGTTCCAGTTCATTAAACAAAATCTTGTCACACACCAGCAAAGGACCTGAACATGAAGAGCAATAGGAATTCCTATTCAGAGTATGACTGATTTATGTGTCTGAGATGAAAAGGGCTCTCCTTCACTCAGTGAAGTGAATAGCTGAGCCAATGAAGTCTTCTTGATAGAATCTTTAGAATGAATGATTAATCTTTCCCTTGAGACCTGCCCCCCCCCATATGTGACAAGAGTAAAGAGCTAGCAAGAAACAGATGTTTATTCAAATTGCACAAGTTGGCTAATTCAGAGGGGCAGAGTTCCCAGAAGCTGATGAATTTTGCACTGTCAGCTGGTAAGTCATGTGAATCATGCAAGTCATTAATGGAATGTTCTACCTAATTCTTCACATGACAATGGCTCATCTCAATGAAACTGCTGCTGCTTTAGTTCCAGAGTCCTGAGGAGGTGTATGCAACTTTTTCTGGGTCAAAGATGATACTGGTCCTTTGGATGATTTCCTGGGAGCTGCTTCCAAACAGCCATGAATGAGGCCAGGACAAAAATGAAATCTGATGTGATTTTCTCAATATTTATAGTCAGTTAAAGTTAAATATAGTTAATGTGATTATCTTCCAGTCATAGATGTAATAATTTTCTCTTTTTGTCTTATAAAAATGATCACTGGTTAACAACATTTTGAAATCACTCAGAGCTGCACCCGAAGCTTTTGGGGCTGCCTGAGATCTAGGGCTCACCTCTGGTCTAAAGCAGCAATCAGAATATTTCATAGCCTTCCCCATTTCATAGACATTTTGCAATGTCTTTATCTTGAATCAAAGATTTTCACCTTATGATAGCTTGTAGAAGAAGATACAAATTTGCATACCATTTGCACATGCTGATTTGTATGTATATGCATAAATTTTGAAGTATGATTAATGTAAACAGAAAGCTAACAGATTCTCAGCATCGCAAGATACTGTATGCCTTCTCAGTCTACTTTCTAAATCAGGGACAGGTAAGTTCTGGGTCCTGAAATCTCTTTGTGGGGTCACTGGAACCCCTCAGACCATGAGTCTTGAAAAGTGAAGGCACATTTTCTTACAATTTTAAATTGAGAAACACTGAAAAATGTACTCAAAATAGTAAATTAAAGGACATAAGCTTCTCCATGAAAGGACATAAGCTTCTCCCCACTTGTGTGATGTAGCCCCAATTTGCAGCCTGTAGCCTCAAAAAGTTAAATGTAGCCCTTGGCCTCCCAAAAATTGTCCCCTCCAGGTCTAAATGCTAACTGCAAATGGGCAGTTTCAAGGCCTTTTTAAATTTCTTAATCCTGGTTCCTGATTTTTAAATTGAACTTAGACTAGATAGGCATTAAAACAGAAGATAATTTCAAATAAAACTCTGACACGTCTTCAAATTAATTGTCCTCTGTAAAATAGAACAAATGATCACAGCCTTATCTTCTTGGTTAGTTTACATATTTCCTAATCTTCAAGAGCCTGTCCTGCTTTTATTTCTAAGCAAAAACAAAGAGAAATGCTATGCACTCTCTATCTGAAAGCACAGAGCTTTTTGTCAGCTAAGAAGTGGTTTCCCGTGACCAGAAATGATTTTCTTGGCATCAATTCCTCACATGAGAAAAAGAGAAAGACTCGGTGTCCAATTTCCATCCACTTCCCTGCTGTGACTCATACAGAAGCCAGACCAGGTCTAAAGGGAAGCAGTCTCCTCATTTAATCCAAGCAGAGTTTGGGGTGGTCCAAGACTGTAATCTCCAGCAATCAACTTGGTCACTGTGGCTGGCTATAGTGCTTTGAACAGCTCTTCTTCTCGGGTGCTCCTCCCCTCTCTTCTAGGGCTCCTACCTGTCCATTCTGAATGAAGTCTAAGGTTGTTTTTTCTTCTTCTGTTTCTTAAATCACATCTCAAATCCATGGCCCAGGGACTGACAGCCTGGTAGCTCTGGGCACCAGTCAACCCAAGAATATTTCCCTTAGCATCCCACTATGCTCCCTGTCCCTGACTTGTTTAAAAAGTTATTTTAGTTATACAAAAGGAATTCAGTGGAAAGCTGGCATGTTGCCTAGGACTTTGTTTGGAAATGTGCCCACCTGTCCAGGAAAAAAAGAAAGAAAGAAAGAGAAATGGGAGTGATGCAGAACATCCTGTGGAATTTAAGGCTGTGATAAGAATCAACCTCATTTGTTTTGCCTTCTGGAAAATGAGCATTTTGTGAGTGGCCTCATCTGCCTTGGCTGCCATTTTGTGGACAGGCCAGTTTCCATGGCAGCCTTTATGTAAGATGCTCTCAATGTTCTATAGATGTATGCCCATTCAACCCCAAACTATTTGCTTACTGCTGCTAGCCTTAACACAAATGGGGCTCTTACCATTTTAAAAATACATTATCTATATCCATTAAATAAAGAATTCATTGCTAGAGAAACATTCATGTCTTCTGAAATAGTGTACCTATGGCTGCCTGGTTCCTTGCTTTCTTTGCTAGCTGTTGACTGGGGAGGAGAGTGGACACAGAGGAGAATGGGAGAGGAATGAAAATGATGGTAGTATAGGGGTGGAAGTGCAGTGGGAGGCAGACAGATGTGGGCAGAAGGAGATTTGAACCTCTACGAGAACTTCTGCAACTTCTGGAAGCAGCTGTTGATAGCTTTATCTTCCAGGATTACTTTGTTCCCTCTTTATAGCCTTCCAAGTTCAGCTATCACTACATGTTATGGAAATGAAATCCATCATTGAACTATATGGTCTGTAAGGAATTGCTTCCCTTTCTGTCTTGCATCTGCTGCTGTTGAGTTCCCTCAGATTTTAAAAGGATGGAAAAGGGAGAGTGGAAAAAAATCTCCTTTATCAACACCCTTCTAACATGGTTGTCAATGGAAATTGTGTACTTCACCTCCTTCCTTAGAACTTTCAATTGTTATCAAATGAAACAAAACAACAGATTACAAATGTATAACAAATTGCCTATTTACAACAATAAACTAACACATTACAGTACGGAACAGTTCCTTTTCCTTGCTCTCTGCCACTGCTGAAGCAAAATGAGTGGCCAAGATAAAAAGTCTAGAAGGAAGTTTTGTTCACATGAAATATCAATAGGCATGAAATGCCTTTGGAAGAGAAGTAGACAACTCTATTGAAGGTAGCATCAATATTATTAGCCCTCATGGCTTTATGTACGTTTTTGCGGACAAATTGGATTAGCTCAGTTAATCCCTTTTTGGTATTCCCAGAACAGAATGACCCGTCATTAATTGAGATAAATGTTCTGTAGGAAAATGGCCAATAAGAGGAGACGATTGTTACTGTCATGTCCTCATAACTTCTTTGTGGATCTCTCATCTGACTGGACATTGGAAAAGGACTATGTATTCTCTTGTTCTGATGCAACCAGGCTGTTCTTATGATCTACTTCCTAATTCTTCACTGAGAAACTGGTACTAAGGAATATTTAAGGAAAATTTAAATCTTTTGCATGGGAATTTAATGGCAAAGTTGAGAATGATAGAAAACAAGCATATCTGGGAGGAGGAATGTTCCCAGACAAAGCATGATTTATATTATAAACTCACACAATAATGCAGAATTATTAGAAGAGATAAAGGCAGTCCATACAATTAAAGGGATCACTTCCAGACCCTGAGTACAAAAGGAGGTTATCTTGTGACCTTCTAAGTCAGACTGATATAAGAGGACTAAAGTGAAGCTACCTGGATGAGTAATACTCGTCCCCTCCAAAGTCTTTGTTAACACTGTTTCCATTGTCTTAAAATACACAGTACTGTATAATTCAAGAAAATAAATACATTTCAGAAGGCCTTCTTAGGGCATAGATTTCATAAAATGCTATGGTAAAGATGACACATTTCTCAATGTCAAGTTTAAAAGAAATAATACATCACTGGAAGATACACATTTTGTGTGACAGAAAAGGTCTCTTACACTAAGGCATCAGTATGTCAGCCCAACATTGCTTCCTAGCTCAACAATTGATTTCAGGCTCTGCCACAGCAGCTTAGCATCTTATCTGATCAATAGTATGCCAAACAGCTGCCAAAATTGGATGCCAAATAGATAGATAGATGATAGATAGATAGATGATTGATAGATAGATAGATAGATAGATAGATAGATAGATAGATAGATAGATAGATAGATAGATGATAGATAGAGGTAGTCCTCAGTTAATGACAGACTGGAATTTCCATCGCCAAGTGATGTGGTCGTAAAGCATGACAGCATGTGACCACATCACTTAGCGACAACAATCCTGGCACTCCCCATTGCTGTTGTTAAGCAAGGATCATAGGTTGTTAAGCAAGTCCCAGGTAGCTCACAAGCAAGCCAGCAGGTAGATAAGTGGCTGCTGCTGGGCAGGGCAGAATGTGTGGGTGGCCACAAGGCATGGTGTGAGTGTGGCAGGGGTGGGGGTGGCTGCTGCCAGATAGGGGAGGGTGTATGGATGCCAGGTGGGGGTTAGTGCAGGTGACTTACCAGAGTGACTTGCAATGTTCCCTGCCAGCTTACCGATTGTTTTTGCTTGTGGGAAGCCAACAGGGAAGGTTGAAAATAGCAATCCCATGACTATGGGATGTTGCAACTGTCATAATTGCAAATGGGTTGCCAAATGCCCAGATCACAATCATATGACCATGGGGGTACTGGGACAGCTGGAACTTCAAGGACCAGTTGTAAGTACCATTTGTTCAGCGCCGTCATAACTTCAAATGATCACTTGAACAAGTGGTTGTCAAACTAGGACTACCTATAGATGATAGATAGATAGACAGACAGACAGACAGACATACAGATGATAGAGACAGATAGATATGCTGTACAAATCAGCATTTTTGATGAAAGATGATTGTATGCATCACATACTTATATACAAAAACCATCATCGCATGCTGAACTCCATAACATACAAGGCTCAGCTTCTCATTTCCAGGTTGTGTATGTCTGGCTTTGTACTGCTGTGGAGAGCTCTGAAGAGCCACATTCTGTACACACAGTGAAATGTGTAGAGGATTTACCTAAACTCCCAAATTTTGCATCATATTACACGGAAGATGTTTGTTCATAGCCCCAATTATAATGACAGTGAAGAATCCTGTGGCAGCTTAAAGACACAGATAAATGAAGTGGTCTGTAATTCATGAAAGCTTTCGGGTTTTTTCTTGGCCCTCTCTACTGTCTCATCTCTTCTTATGCTACTGCATTCCTTCTTCATCCAGGTACAAAGGTAGTTGCCTAACACAGAGTTAGACTCTGACACACACATCTAAACTGACTGCCAATGGTTCACCCTAGTTTTTAAACAGGTATCTTTGTCAGTCCTACACAGAGGGTTTGGCATGCAAAAGTAAAGGTTCGACCTTTAACATATGGTTCTTCTCCTTTGAGAAGTAGATTACTGTTGCAAAACTGCTTTTGATACACTCCTGAATATGAATTTATGAAGGATAATGGGGACAAATTTTGGAGAAGACATGGAATGAAAACATTTTTACATTAATTCATGATCAGACTCTTGATTGTCAACCATATCTTCATGGCAAATTACTTTGTCCCTGAAAATATAAAGATGCGTCTATGTGCAATGACTGTGATACAATGTGCGCAGCTAGAGAATACATCAAAAACTTGGAACGAATTAGAGAGGTGGCCTCTCAAAATCTTTCTTAATATTAGTAGATACTGTACTGATACTCTGATCTTTTCTGTAAGTGCACAGACTTCTACAGCATCCCATGTCAGCTTACCATTAGACAGAGCACGGTGGGCCATCTCAGGTGGGATATGTGAGAATCTAGTCTAGTCAGTGAACTACATAGTTCACTGTGAACTACTGAGTTTACTATTAATTTTTATTCTACTAAAGGGAAGTCCACCTGGACTTTTTGTGGCAACCACCAAAAATGACTTGCGCCCTTTCTGTTGAACACTGAGGAGATGATGCTACAATGCCTGAGAATCTGCCAGATGTCCATAACTTCAAGACTATCTACTTTGTACCTGGGAATCTGGCACTAAGGCTATATCATTCACTCATGATTTGAGGCTCTAAACTACTATTCAAGTGTTTTTCTCCTTCCAAGAATGAACTTTGCTTGGATATTTCATTTATGACTGCAAATGAATTCTGTCAAGAAAATGCCCCAGAGGAGGATTGCACATGCTATCCATATCATCATTCAGATCAGAAGCTGTATTTTGGAGAGTTTCTGCTGATGGTTTGAAAGAAAACATATCTAAATCCTCTGAACTATGTTTGCTTCAAAAGAGCAATCTTGCTGCTACAAGGCATCTGTATCCTTGATAATGGGAATTGGTGACTCTTCACCACCAAGTTGTTTATAAATAAAGTAGAAAGTCAGCTTGGGCTCTTTGTTCAGGAGATGGGATTTGATTTGATGAGGGAGGGCATCATCGTCCATCTGCATTGTTTTGTTATCAACCTGGACAAACAGTCCATAGTCCTGGGGCTCTGAGACTTCAAATTTCTCAGCACACTGCTGAACCAGCTGATGAGTTGTGGAGTCTGTCCGGTATGCCAGTGTCCTTGTTTTGGCATCAGCCTCCATAAAAGAAATTGCAATGAAATCCTAGAAACAAGGAGAATACATTTTGAAATAACAATAATGTTCAACATAACTCTATTAAAATACATGCTTCTCTATTTATGTATAAAATTTCTGTCCATCCTTTTCACCACCAAAAATCTGGATACAATTCATTAAAAACTAACAAACTGCTTTTAATAAATTCTTAAAAATTAAAAACAGAAATAATAATATAGTAAAAAGGTTCTTTAAAATGTTAAAAATATTGGAAAAAAACATTAAAATACTGGACAAGAATAAAAAACTAGACTCCAGAGGTTCAGCTATATCAGCTTTACTAAAAGCCATGGTGAAGATAGTTAACTAATTGAAAGCCCAAGTCCTATAAAGAAATGTTGAAGGGGTTAATGATTATTAGTTATATGAGCTGAGGAGGCAGAGTGGAATGGATTTCTTCAAAAGGTTAAAGGTTCTCACGTATTCTAAGTTTTAAGAAAACTATGTCAGGAATGTTTTCCATGCAGAATGTCCCAGATTTAATTCCACTTCTGATAGGACTGGGAAAAGTTCTTGTCTGAAACCATGGAACAGGGGTATCCCTGAGCAGGGAGGCAGCCAAAAAGCAACTGCTAATCAGGATAGACAATGCTGAGCAAGATAAACTGAGGGTCTTCAGCCTTGGATAAAACAATTTGCTTTGAACAAATTCCTCATAGCTTGTAAATATTTGAGACTCAGAGGCAACTTTTGCCTGCTACTTGATTGTAACATCTGAAGAGCTATCTACAATGTATACAAGTAGCACAAAAGCAAGATGCTTGCTTGGGAGAATTACTCCCGGAATTAAGACATGCAAAGCTTGTTACATGAGAAAAACAGTGTTTGCTGCCACCATGAGGTTGAAAGGCAGGACATCTTAAATACTAGACTTCATTAGGGCAGCTCAAAAATTACAAATAGGTGCCATTAAGTCAAGTTTGACCTGTGATGATTGCATGAACAGATGCTCACAATCTTGGCCTGTTTTAGCAATAACACATAACTATTCCAAGGACGTTCAACCGATTGCCTTGATACTATCCATCGGCCTTCCATTGTCTTTCCAGGCTGTGCAGTGCTTTGGATTCAAAGGGAAAAGGTGCTTCAGAGCATGCAGTGGGTGCTCACATAGGACTTTTCCTCAACTCCTTGAAAGCAGTGCTACCTTTACCCAGGTCTGGGCACAGCTGCAGCACAATCCCAGGAAAAGACGCATTTGATTGAAGGAGTTGCTGACAAGTGCTACATGTACCCACGCAGACTTTGAAGCCCCTTTCCCCCTTCATTTTCCTTGTTTTTCCACATCTGTTTCGATCTTTAGTGTCTTTACATAGGTTTTGTAACGCTGCTTCTTGTTTCTCCTAACACTCTCTGTAACTGTTTGTGAAGTTCCTTCCTGAGATTTTTGTCTTTCTTTGCTTTGGCTTCCCTTCTTTTCTTGGCAATTTCCATGGTTGGTTCCGACATCCAGTTTGCTGATAATTTTTTGTCTTCTTAAAATTCAACATTAACCTAGATTTTTCACTGTTTTTATTTTCATAATGAGGTCTTCTAAGTCTTTATTAATTTTGGTCGATGTTTGGTTAGCTTAAATGTTGTTTGTCTTTGGTTCCAAGCTGTCATCTCTTTTAATCCTGACATTCTAATAATATATTCACTATATAAGATAAATAGATAGAGGAACAATGTGCCTTCCTGTCTTTCTGCATTTTCTATTATGAACCACTCTGCTTCTCCCATTTCAAGTTTTATAGGAGCTTCTTGTTACTACAAGGTAAACCTCCTTTCTTCTTTTATTCTATAGTTCTTTTTAAAATTTATTTATACTTATTTATATATCGAATTTGTCACTGCCCATCTCGTTAGAAAACAACTCTGGGCAGTTTACAGAAAAGATAAATATTAATTAAAAATACAATATAACAATTAGTCCTAAATAAATAATAAATATCTTCCAAGAAGTGATGGTAGCTAGATATTATCAGGCTCGGGGAGCATCACCAGGGTGCCAGCTACCCCCAGGGTTTGTTAAAGCTCTTCTTGCTCCATGCAAGCTTTTCATTAACCATCTTATTTTAGTTGTCTGATCTCATATCCTGCTACCTTTTTTCAAAAGCTTCTGTTAGACATTTGTGTCCCCGTGATGATGATACTCTTCTTCTTTGTATAATCTTAAGTAAAACTTGGCTTGAAGGAGAAATTAATGCAGCAGTCTGGTAATTTGAACATTCTCTTGTATCTACCTTTTTTGGTATAGATCAGCGTTGTTCAAACTTGGCCACTTTAAGATGAGTGGACTTCAACTCCCAGAATTCCCCAGCCAGCCAATAAAGTGGCCAAGTTTGGACAACACTGGTATAGATATATTTTGAAGTCTCTAGACCACACAGTTTGTTCCATATCTGTTGACACATAGCTGTTAGCACGTTAACTGCCTCTTCTGCAGCCTTAAACTATGCAACATGTGCCTGGTGCTTATCGACTTTCTCTTCTATCTCATTTTCTAGTAGTCAGTTCCTGCATACCTTCTCCCTACACAAATGTTGCTATGATTTATAAAGAATTTTCATCATTGTTATTCCGAATTCTTCTATCCATTTGCTTTTAGCAGATTCTTCTACGATTCTTCATGAATATTACTACCTTAGCTGTAAATTTTACTATGATTTTTCTAACATTAGAAAGATCTATTTTTTTTTCTTATTGTCCTCTATTTGTTGACTGAGGTTTTCTCCTCCTTTCTTGCTTGCTGTCATTGCTGCCCATAACGTTCATCTTCTGTCTTTCTCTGACAACAATAGCTGGTTCTGAAAGCTCTTTACATCTTTTCCTCAGAAATGTTGGGAATAGTTTTTTCTGCTTCCAGTTTCACAGTGTCTCTTGCCTCAGGTTCTCTTTTGCATAAATTAAATGTACTGAATCTGTTCTTCACACTGCTCTTATATTCGACCTGTACATTCTCCAAGTCATATCTAGTTACTGCACATAACTCTCTTTAAAGTTTTAAGTTTAATCCATATATTTGATTGTTCTACAATCTGCATCTCACCTGGCTGACTAGATTGCATTTCTCCATCTTCTGCTTCCTATTAAGCTGTGTTTTTTATTCCAGTGTTGTCCCTCTGCAGATACTGATCTTTAATATTTGCACGGAAGTAGATGTGGCAATAAACAAATAATTCTCTTTCCAGAATTCCATTACCTAACTCTTGCATTATTATGTTTACCAAATCCAAATATTCCTGTAATTCCAGGTTCCTCCATTTCTGTTAGTAATATTATGTCCTTTCTTGATATTGCACCTAGTACTTCTTGCAATTTGCCATAGAATTCTTTAATATCTTCTTGCATTGCACCGTATCAGGTTCACACACTTGTATAGCATAGACGTTTAATGTAAATGCACTCATACTGGTAAAAATGATCCTAACCCTAATTAAGTTACAACCATGTATGTACTTAGCAATGTCCCTTTTTTGAGTATTATTGCCACCCCATTCCTCCGTATGTTTTAATATGGAGGTTCCCCCTGGCTGACTCAAACTTATCTGAAACCGCATGCCATGTCTAGTAAAACATCTTTATTATACTTGCACACAAATATGAAGCCATTTCAAACAGTTGGTTGCCTTTTGACAGTTAAGGCTACTGCCCACATTCTATAACCTCTTGAGTTTAAACTTGGCACCTTTTTCTCCTGCCCTTTTCATGGCTTAATGAAATGCTTTGTGCATGGTGACAATTAGTTATTTATGTTTTCAGCATTCTGACCAGAGTTCCTTTTTGGGGGGCAAGTCATCAACTGTAGGTCTACTCATAGACATTTGAAGCTCTTCCCCAATAACTAGATTGTATCTGCCAGCTGGAGTCTCATTGTATCACACCTAAACTCATCTAAATGTTACAGCCATGTCCATGCAGTTTTCTCGGCAACAATACAAAAGCTTTTCATATTTCTTTCCAAAGTGTTCCTGCTATCTCACTGAATTGTGTTCTGAAATGGGTGGAAGGGAAGAACTGCTCCATGTCCTCCTAATCCTCTTCCCAGATGTGTTATATTACAACTCTAAGCAGTTGGGATTTCTCAGTTAAAACAGTTATTGATTTGTGGCTGAGATGCAAGGTAGAGGGGTTCTTAGATTTGGAATAAATCTAAACTAAGGATTCAGGCATTTTGGAATTGGGTAAATCAAATGTGTGTATGGGAAGTAATTTTGGCTGTCCACTGAAGAATACCCCTTCATATGTTCCAGAATTCTAGATTTCAGGAAAGTCTCTGTAAGTACAAGCTCCTGAATAGGATTTAGGAGGTTAAATCTTCTACTTTGAAAATAAGGCCTGTGCAAAGGAGAATGAGCATGAAGTGTAACAAAAGTACATGTCACAGATGATTCTGCACTTATCAACAAATTTAGTTTAATGTAGTATGGCAGGTAGTTATCAGAAAAAAAGTCTTCTTGGTGATGACACCCTACTGATGACTCATTGTTATCCATCTAGCACAAAGCAGAAATGTTTTTATTCTTCCTGGCCTTAAAAAAACAGTTATAATAAAAATCCTATCATTCATTATATGTTATCTAGGTACTTAATTTGAGTTGTATTTGTTTGTTTTCCAAAGCTCTGATTATTAGAAAGCATAGAGCTTATGCCTTACAAAATTGGTTAGCCTTAAAGAGTGCTATCAGTCTTTCTGCTTTTAAACTCTGCTGGAAACTTTGCTCAAGATAGATATGTACCGTATTTTTCCGACAATAAGACGCCCCCATGTACAAGACGACCCCCACTTT